TAGTTTATGTTGTATATGATAAGATAATGTAAATTTACGTAAACAAAACAAATGAGCTCTACTTCACCTGCCCCATGGACCCTAAGATTTGAAAGGGTACTTTACTTTCATATATCTTCAATAAAATTGCGCAAAGACACCGTGTTATACAGTTATAATTTTTTTTTTAAAGTAGAAATTTTTTAAAACTAATTCAGAGTAAATCAGAGCTTTACATTCGGTATTATAAAGCATTGTTGTGCGTCACAACGTATAACACGCGGTAGTTTTATAAAAATGATAAACCACGGTACCACCCCAACACTCTTCCTGTTCTGTAAAGTTAACATAGTACCAATTGATGTACAAATATTCGGTTGTCCACCTTGGAGCCAGCAGTCAGCCCTGTCACTTTGAAGTTAAGTTTCCTGTGCAGGAATTCAAAAACACAAGGGAATTTTTTTTTTCAAACTTTATGTCTTTCTAAATTTAATTATGGCAGTTCGACAATGCTAACGGCCATTGGGGTGTGTGGGGGGGGGGGGAGGAGGGGGGGGGGGTTGTGTAGCTTGAGTTGGACACCAGGGTATCTATGGCGAATTTTCAGCTCGAGTGTCTGAGGGTGAAAGGTCAAACGTCACATGTGTCACTGAATGTCAGCAGTTGTTTTAAAAGATCAACCACCACTGTGTAGACTAGCCAGCACGTGGACGCCAGTTGTTTGAAGCTGGTTAGGGGGTGGATCTTAACCCCCCCCCCCCCCCACCCATGTGCAGATTTAAAAACAGTGAATTGTACGTTCCTTCTAATTTTCACTGGTTTTCATTCAACTACCCTTACACTAAAAAACCTAAATGAAATGCTACGAATATATTTCCAATGAACGCGAAAAAACGAAGTGTTAAGACAATTCAATGTTTATCTCATCAAACTAATTGGCGTGAATACCTTTTCAAAGCTCATCTCATTTCGCACTAAAAACTATTTGCCGTAAATTTATTTTCAATGCTCATCTCAAGTTGTCTGAATTAAAAAGCTCCAAAGCGTAATTATAAAATTTCTATTTTAATTAGGCTTCAAAATATTTTCATTAGGTGAAAGTCTAGAAGACGAAATGGGCCAACGTCTCAACAATGCTGATTTGGTTCTAATCGGCCAACTGGGCAGATAGTTGATTGCCATAGTGAAAAAGTCCAAGAGTGATTAACTTTCCGGGAAAAAAAAACAATTATTTGCTTTTAGACAAGCTCAAACTTGTAAACAAATTATTTCGCTTTTTCAATAATAAGAAATTTACATGCATTTTCTATCACTTATTTAAAAAATATATTTTCGGCTTATAAATTATAGCACAATACTTTATGTAGGTTATTTGATTATATTTTATGTGCTCTTGAATTAGTTTAATTAAGCTAACCGGAAATTTTGGTTATTATAATTTAAAAAAAAACCCCATAAAGTAACTAAATTAGTTAATTTACAATATTCAATCAACTCAAATCATGGACTTCAATTGAATGTTGGGCACCTGATTTATTTTACTGCAATAACAAGGGGAGCAATTACGTTTTCAGAAGATTAACTTCAGAATTTTTACTGCTTTTACAATTAAAAAATCCTCTTTCTAAGCATTTCTTTAATTGTAACGTTTTTCAAGTAGATCTATATTCCAAAAACTTTTCTGTCATTTACAATGAATCCGCTGTAGAAAAAAATTGGCACTGTAGCATAACTTTTGAAAACAGTTTGATAATAAACACATCTATGAAAACTTATTATTAACACACTTTTAAATTAAGCTTGTAAATCTAGTCTGTTTTTGTTTCGTCCGTTTTGCGATGCACGTATATTTCTCCCACCAACACATGTTAGGGAATCCCAAAGCCGAACCTGTTAATTCTAACCTGCTAACCAACAGTTAAACTGGGCCTAGGTCCACCCTTTTTAAAAGGTGTAGGCCTAGATCTAGTTTTAATATGTGATTAAATGGTTAGTCATGAAATTTATAATCAATTTTAGCGAAATAATAATTCTTATTATTTAACGGTAATGCGCAAATTAGAAAAATGGAACAGAGGTTAAAATCGAGATTTTAAATCTATCACTAAATTCCCACCCAAACAAAAAATATCCCTTTCCTGTAGCCTAGAATGCACCGCTGAGACTTGGGGCGTAACCGGCTTTTTTTTCTCCTTAGGATAGATCTAATATTGTTTGTTTGAGGGGGAGGTTACGGGGAGAAGTCAAGGGCAAGGTCGGACTGCAATCCCTTTGAACTTTGCAGATAGGCTACCAGTTCAGACAAAATGGTTGCCACAGTATGACGAACTAAAAAAAATAACTTGTTTACAATTACAAAAATAATTTATTGTTATATATATACATTTTAAAAAGATTATGGGTTCTATCACATATTTCTTCTCAACTACACTAGTAAACAAACGTAAAAACCATTCGGAATGGTTACAACATCCGGATGACGTGTTCAGTAAGGCAATTTACCGTAAAAGTCATACTTTTCTTTGATTTTGCCTTTAATTTCAAATTACACATATGAACCAATTGAAGTATATTTAAAAATAGAAAGATCTTTCTATCATAATAATTATGCAATAAAAATATAATTAACACGCGACACAAAACTATTTAGCATTTTAGAATAATAATAAGAAACAGGCTTACAGTAATTTTGCGAATTTATTATGAAAATGACGCTTAGTCCTGACCGGAGAAAACTAGCTTTAATCTCCGCCCCTTTTATTTAGTGACTGGTTCTATTTTTAGCAACGACCGGCTCAGTAGCTCATGCACAGAATAGGCCATCGACAATCCATCTTATTAGTCTAAATAAATAATATTATATTTAAGATTCATATGATTTTCCAACGAAGTTGTTAAATCAATGATTAAAATTACTGCGCAAAATGTATTTTATCTTTTTCTTTAAAAAGCCAACTCCGCCCAACGATTTTATCGACAAGATGACGTATACCCTCAATGAAGACCAGTTTGGCTTTAAAATGTTTTAAAACTGAAGCCAAAAGTTAAAACCTGAACATTTAAAGGCTATCAATTAAATATAAATAAAATATGTGTTACTGCTAAGCAATGCACACACACTGCATTATTTTCCTACATATTATAACTAAAAATAAACAATCATATGCTTGAAAATTGTTGCTTCTTTTTTATTATATACTAGGCATGCTGCCCAGCTTCGCTTAGGCTTTCGAAAACATTGAGAATTTGAATGCTTAATTAATTCGCCCGAAGGTCGGTCTACGACCTCAAGAGTTATGAAGAGGTTCCTCCGTGGACATTTTTTTTTCGATTTATAGCTCATATAAGGTACCGGTCAGTCGAGGTCAGTTTTGACCCCCACATCGTAGACTTTTCGGCCAACCGGCCCCCGTGTTCTGTCGCACCAAGGCAAGATCATGCCAAATTTGAAGCGCCTGCGGCGCCGGGAAGTGCCCTATCGGACACCCGACAATCTAGAATCTAGATCTAGATTCCTAAAAGAATTTTTTTTTAAAGTTTAGCCCGAGCATAATAAAAAAGAATACATTAACCAAGTTGACTTGCTGTGTCTCGAACCCGCACCACCTGCGTGGTTTAATGTACACTAACATCTCCGCTATTTAGGCACCTTATAAAATACGGAGAATGAAACACGTATTTTAAAATCTTAACTTACACGAATATGCTTATTCTTTCAAATTATTTTTTTATCCCAAATTAGCCAGTTCATAACAAAGATTTTGTATAAAATAAATAAGTCTTGAAATAGTTTAGTCCTAATATAGAAATTTATTTTTGGAATAGATTTTAGAGAAGTTAGAGTCTAAATCTAGATCTTAGCGTCTACGTCTAGATTATAGATCTAGTTATTGCGTAGATTTAGATTTAGTCTAGATCTAGAATCTCTAGATCTAGAATCCAAATAAATAAAATAAATTTTATGAGTTTAGGCCGGAAAAACTGTATTGTATACATTTCATAGTGTACGTAGATCTAAATCAAATTTGAATGAAATAGTTCATTTCTTTTTATTCAAAACACAGCAGATGACGTCATTAGTTAATGTATAAGCAATAGCGACGTCACAGTTTTATGCGTTCTTTTTCACATGTATTAATGCTTTTCCGGTTGCATAAATAATACTGTTTCTCTACATTCGAATACGCCTTTAATTTTTATTTTTCTTCTTTAAGTAAAATTGTGGTTATACATTTAAAACATCTAACATATTATTTTCAACAAAAGTCCGTAAAAAGTTCTCGATATATCGCTGCCGATTCTGACGTGATGTCCGGCGAAAAATTTTTGCGGACAGAGAAAGAGAGAGAGAGAGAGAAGAGCGCACATGGCCTTTTATAAATTAGGATTTAGTTAAGATTTTACTTTTTACAACGAATGAAGTATATGACGCACAGTTTGATTAGTAGAACAATTAAAAAACAAACTGCACAATTTTTCTCTAAGAAATTGAAAAGCAAGTATTAAGTATAATTTAACTTAGGCAAAAAAAATTTTTTAGAACATGTTATGTCGCCGTTATTTTTATGATGCTTTTAGAATACTGTATGAATTACAAACCACTACTTTTTGACAACTCCTCGGCTAAATACTGATATGAAAAAATTAACTTTTTTTCTATTCAAATCATCATTGAAACAGGAGAGAAAATAAATGTTTGAGGGTGTTTTCAATAAATTAATTATTTTAAATAAGATTACTCCATTATACCACTGTATCATTAAGTTAAAATTTTAATGAGAGTTCTTAAAGTTAATATATTAAGTTATATTTATAACAAAGAACTAGAGCGATTTAATTTTTTTTCCTTCAAATCAACAAGCTTAAATTATTGAGAACCGTATTAAACATACGATTATTTTCTCATTAACACTAACCACACCTTCAGCGCGTGACAGCATTGTGAACAGAGGTTTTCAGGCCTATTTGGTTTAGAAACTGGTAAAATCTGGCCAGTCACTTCCATATAAAAGGGGGAACATTCGCCAACATCGTTGTGTTTTTCCGTGTAGAGATCGTTCAACATAAATCAGGCGCGCTGGAGTCGACACACTGTGATCTGTTTTTCTCTCTGTCTAATTCATCAAGCTGCAAAAATTACGTCCATAAAAAATAAAGAAGCTCAGTCTGAAGCTTCTGTGGAGGTAGGAATATGTGTTAACTTAATTTAATTGTAGGAATAACTATTTTGAAAACGCAATAACGGTTAATTCTAAACTCGATGTAAAACGCATTTGATGTCTCAAAGACAACTGCTCAACAGCTTGAGCTCGGTAAGCTCAGCAGACGCCCTTCTCGTTTCAGCTAACAGATTACTTTACACGTCACTTAATACATCTACACTCTCATCGAATGACTATGTAGCATAATCGCGTCTTTGATAGATCTAGATCTATTGAAATATCACAATGGTAATGATTCAGAAATGAACGGAATTTGCATTACAAAAAAGGCCATGCCACAATGTCCATGACCATGAGGAAGTCAAAAATCAAGATCTTTATATTTAGACATCTAGATTCTAGATCTAGAATAAATCTTCACGTTTGACTTGCCACATACACTAGATCTAGATGTAGTTTAGTCTGTTACCAACTGATCAGATAAATTTTATCTTCATTTCCATATTAACAAAGTTTAAGTTAAACAAAATTGGTTGGCCTAATTTTTCTCTTTATTTTTTAAAGGCTTTTTGCTATGAATATTGAACTCTAAATAAAAGTTAGTTAGTGTTTACTAGGCTGTGTTACTTGATATAGTCTAGATCTAGTGATCTTGTTTAGTATGTTGTGTACCAGTGTTCAAATGCTACTTATATTAAATCTTAAGTGTTTAGTGTTAGGCCTACTGTTATATGAATAAGACTTAATTTAATGTCAAGCCCTGACTAAACCCAAAATTTATCCCAAGTTTTCCCATAGCTTTAAACCTAACTAATTTCTAACCAAGAACTAGATTCTAGAAGAGATTACTAGAGGAGCTTACACTTTTCGGACACACATAGCGAAAAAACGCAACGTAAAAATTCCATGCGGTCTCATTCAGTAACCGCTTAACATAGAAAACAAAAAAAAGTATCATATCTATCCACAACCATTCTACTTTAATAATGTGTGTGTCATTTTGTATTCATACGCATAGAACTTAAGCTATTCTTGTTATAGTGACTGGGGGGTCTTAACGTGTGTTCGAACACATGTAATACAGTTTTACATGTGTTCGGACACCTTTACCTGTCATCGGACATAGCACTTTTTATTCATTTAGAATAATTTAAAGTCAATTTAATGAATAAAAACATATATGCATTTATATTGTGTTATTGATTGTTTGTGAGGTAATTTTAATAGTATAAAACCTTTTTCCCACACTCCCAAAGTTCATCCCATTCAGCCATTGCGGCTCGCGCAGTACGCTGCTAAGCCAGCCAGGTCACATGATTCCCCCTCCTCTTTCGCATTCCACTGCCTTCTTGACCTTATTTTGACCCTTTCCCTTCAATAACCAGCCCCTTTTATGCTCTAAATTCTTAATTAGTAATATTTTTGTGTTGCTGTCCGGTCCCATGTAAGGCCAAATAAGTTAGCGAACACCCCTTTTTTATTGTTCAAGCACAAAAAAACCCATTAACCTTGACATTTACGATGTTCCATACATATATAGAAGCTATTTATAGTGTAACCTTTTAGCTAAGCATTGATTGGTTCAAGTTTTGCCCCTAAGTCCAACCCTAGGTCACTTCATCCGGCTGGTGTAAAAATAGAAATGTGCGTACCATGCAACGTTAAAAAATTTCTAAAAATAATTCTTGAGAAAGGAAACGGAAGTACTTGACACGGAAGTGTTCATAAATGAACAGTTTACGTGCAGGCGCCGTGGTTTCGCGTGAGACATGCTAATTAAAGTTTCTATGAGCCAAAAACCGACGAAGTGTTCGCTCCTACGTAATTTTTGGTGTGTGTCCGAAAAGTGTAAACTCCTCTATAAACACCTAACACACCTTCACAAGTCTGCTATTTTTGAGTCGAAGACTTACATTGTTAGTGGAGAGACCTGAATTTTTAAAATAAATTCATATTATCAACCACCATGTCTGGAAAGCAAATGCTAATACATTTATTTTACTCAACAGGGCAGTAGCTCGACTGTCTTCTTCAGCCAAAGTCCAGAGGCCGCTTGTGGAATAAGGAGGAGATTCAATTTCAACGCTGAACCGCCGTGGGATCCAAGCTAGTATCTATTAAAGGCAGGCGTTTCCTTGGGCCAGGCAAGTTTAAGTTTAACTATCAGTCAAAGTGATTTGCATTAATTTTTAGTTGTCTAACAATCAATTAGCAAAGTCCTTTGCTTACCCTTTGTTTTATTTTTTTCTAATTTTACAGATTGCTTGTACAACCCCGACTTGTTAATTTTAATTTATAGACTTACACTTAAAAATATTCACCATGAAGCATAAGTATTCCTCCATTACATCTGTTGAAATCATTGCTGATCCCATGCCCTGCATGACACAGCTAATTCAAGACAAGATTGATGAGCTTGAAAATAGGGTATGCTATTTTAATCTTTCCACAAATGGTGAAAAAGTGAGTTATCATAAAAACTACATTATGACATGTTGGCACAAAAGTTCAAATTAAGCTGATTTACCTTTCATAGGTACATCAGTTACAAAATCTAAAATTTTCATGCTTACACTTGTCAAGTTAAACTATAAGCATGTCTGCTAACAGTACTATAGATGTGTGCTCAGTTTATTGAATTCTTGACAAATTGTTTTTGTGCAAGTGTACTTTAAAATTTAAACAAAACTAATTTTGAACTTACAATGACAGGGTTCTGATGACGCATTCTGCGTGTGCGATATTGGCGATGTTGTCAATAAGTTTAAGACCTGGAAAGAGCTAGTACCAAGAGTGGAGCCATTCTACGGTAAGTATTTGGTGGCAGATTTTCGCACTTAACTATAACACATAATCACCCATTTTTTTAAAGGGCTTACCAATGCTGATTTTAATTTGGTCAAGTTTTCCCCTTTAACTTCCATATGGCTGAGTCTCCTACTAACTGTATTATTTGTATACAAAACAAAATCATAGTAAGCTGATAAATATGCAGCCATTCCTACCTAAAACAATCTTGAAAAAAGTCCCTCAATGATTTGTTTGATAGGCTACCAGATCTTGTATTCACTTTCTGTCCAGTGCTGCATTCCTTTTCTTTCTGGAATTCTTGAACCTGTTCTTTTTATTTAGAATTATTTATAATCAATCAGGGTTTCCCCTCATTGATAAAAATTATCCTGTAATAATAGATCTTAAGGCATGAATCTTTTAATCTTTGAATAAAATCTATCTTTTATTTCATCTGCAGTTAAATTACTTCATGCACGGATTTAATACTTGAATATTTCTTGTTGACTGGCTTAGTGTATTATTACTGTAATATACATTTTCTCAATTAGTTATGAATGTTTATCTAATGTTATATGGCATCCTACCCTTATCATTTTCCCAAAAGAGCCAGCTGATTACTTCACTAACTGGATTTTATCGGAGTACATCGCTTCAGTGAACCGCCTCCTGAATTTGTAAATTGGTCTTTTGACATTTTTTTTTTCAGTTGGTCATCTGCTCTGTTGGTGCTCGAATCTTTTTTCTTTTATGGATGTCCTATATTTAATGAACTGTTGTGCTATGTTGCAGTTTCATGTTGCAAAATCTGTTCAGTTTTTAATTTTTTTAGCTTTCTTGACTTAATGTGGTTGCTATTAAAATATGGAATTTGGGTTCTGTGAATTTTGCTTCTCAATGTTCTATACATCCTCATCAAACGAACTAGTAATGGTCCATGCTTAATTTCCTGATCTTTAGTTGTGGCTCAACCTAAATCGTACCGCTTGCTACAGAAATCAACAAGGATTAAAAATATTTTTCTTGATTATACAATCAAGCTATTTTGAAGCATCCTCACTTAATTTTAGATTGTCTAACTTAATATGTTAGCACTTCTCAGTCTGAGTTTTGCTAATACCAGTGCTTACTGTCCAGATTGGTTTGCTATCATTTCCTCTTGGTCACACTCATTTGGTTGTTAAAGGCTTTTTAAATTTGACCAGCTTAACATTCTGTTCGGTTGGTAGGCCCTCCTTAATTTTTTTTTTTTTTTTTATATTTACAATTCTTTTTATACATGGCCAGTTGTTGACCAGTCCAGTTGGCCAGTGCTTGTAAGGTTTAACCTACCATAACTTGATGTTTGCTCACGGCTAAGGAGCTTATAGCCATGCTATTTCAAAGTATCCAGTTTACCGACCTATGCGGACCAAAGAATCACATCAGGTTTACCATCTATCCTCTTTCTCATCTTTTCTTTTTTATCTATTTCATTTCATGAATGAATGTTGAATTGATAGATGTTCATTTCATTTTTTATGTGCATTTTTATCACATTACCAGGTTATTTTTAACAGCTGTAGCAGTCTTTGTCAGCATGACCTGCTCATTCTATGGCTAATTAAAAATGTTTCTCTAAAAGTAAATAAAACACCAGATGATACACAAATCAACTTGTTCATCTTTTTCTTTCTAGAAATGTAATTAACAAATTTCTGGGTGTTTATTCACCAGTGTTTTGACATTTTAAATTATTTGTATTTCAGCTTGCAAATGTAACACTGATGAGGTTGTTGTAAAGACGCTTGCCGACCTGGGTGCAGGTTTTGACTGTGCCAGCAAGGTTGGTCTTAACTTTAAATGTTTCTAATCATGTAGCAATCTTAGAAATATTTCTGTATGCAGATGTCTGTGTTTACCATAAGATTTTTTCTAACAAATTCTATAATTATTTCAGGGTGAGATTTCACTGATTCTCAAGCAAGGTGTACCTACCTCGCGCATTATTTATGCTAACCCATGCAAGCAGAAATCCTTCATCAAATATGCAGCTAAGCACAATATTGACATGATGACATTTGACAATGAGGCAGAGCTGATCAAGATCAAGGATATTTATCCTTCTGCCAGGTAATAACCTCTAATTTAAATAGTTTCTTTAATTAGTAATTGCATACAAATACTCAGTGCATACAAATACTCAGTGTTAATGTAGTGCTCAGATTTCAATGTAGTTTTACTTTTTCAGGCTTGTTCTTCGCATCCTACCAACTTCTCAAATCAAAGTTCAGTGTCAGTTGGGCAACAAGTTCGGATGTCACCCCAGCAATGTCTACAAATTGCTGAACAAAGCCAAGCAGCTAAACCTCAACATCATGGGAATCAGTTTCCATTGTGGAAGTGGTGTACAGGAAGCTAAAGCATTTTCCCTGGCTGTGAAACAAGCTCACGATGCCTGGAAAATTGCATGTGATCTGGGATTCAATATGACCTTTCTTGACATTGGTGGTGGATTCCCAGGCCAAAAGTCTGCACCCATCACTTTTCCTGAGGTGCGCACACATTAAGACCTTAGTTTGGATATTTATCAAATTCTTAGTTTGTCTGGATGTTAATTTAGTTTGCATGGATTATAAAATTCCTATTCTGATTATTCATCAGATTGCTGCTCTACTGAATGATGCGTTGGACACCTATTTCCCCGCTGACATGGGTGTGAGAATCATTGCTGAACCTGGCAGGTACTTTGTTGCATCAGCCTACACTCTTGCTGTGAACATCATTGCCAAGAGAACAGTTGCTCGGGACATTTCTGATGCTGGTATGTCATTCTCCTGTTGGCTTTGATACTGAGTTTGGCTGTAATAGTTTGTAGTGGTGTTAAACAAACTAATTGTTAATTTCAGACGGCCCCCCAGATGGTCACAACCAGCAGGAAGTGACCAACAATGACGAGCCGTCCCACATGTATTACGTGAATGATGGTGTGTATGGTTCATTCAACTGCATCATGTACGATCATGCCACTGCAGAGGCTCATGTGTTCTCAGTGAGTATTTAATATATCTTTCCTAAACTAGAAACTTATTCAGACCTTGCACAGGTTATTTTTGTGCAGACTGATCAGGTATCTGCGTTGTTTTTCATTGTGTACTTTTGTTCCCCAGGATTCCCCCTTAAGATTTACCTCATCTGTTTGGGGACCAACTTGTGATGGATTAGATTGCATTATTAAGGAGTGCCGTTTGCCAGAGATGGAAGTGGGCCAATGGATGTACTTCCCTGACATGGGGGCCTACACAATAGCTGCAGGGTCTACTTTCAATGGGATGCCCCGCCCAACCATCCATTATATCTGTAGCAGAGATACCTGGTAGGCATTTAGTCTTCTAAATTTATCTAGTCAATAGTGTATTTTTAATGTCACTGGTTAAGTACCTATAGATCTTAATTAACAAATCATTTTCTCCCTCACTCTGTGATTCTATAAAATAGTTGAGCGCATACCTCTAGACATGTGTCTAATGCTGTAAATTTTTTATCCTTGTGTGGCCTGTCTAAATCAGTGTTCTATATCACTTTTCTTCAGGAATGAACTGTATCCGGACAGTACCAGTGCTAAGCGCCGCTGCGAAAGCGTTTCTTCTGAAGCTGAATACCCATGCATGATGGCAGCTGGTCCAGATGTGATGTCTTTGCGTGAGGCAGCCAATTCCATCTCCTGCATTGAAGATGAATTAGTCCTAGCTTGAATTTCTTGTGCTAATGTCAGCTGTTTATGATTTTCATTTCATTCGGGTTGTTTTTGTTTCAAAACTTGTCTAATTTTTCAATTTTATTTGTACCACTTTTGTATGTTCTTTATTTTTTCTTAACTGCTCAAACAAGGTGTTAATCAGAAGTTCATTACAGATGAAAGCAAAAGCTATAGATTTGACCTGTGTTGAAAAGACAATGTTAGGCACCAGAGATGGTCCTGACTTGCGTAGAAACATTGAGCTTTTTGAGATTTTTTTTGTTTGAATTTTTACTATTTAACTTTTTTGAGGTTGGGTTTTAGATTTGAACATTTCATGTGGTCCCTTTTGATGTTAGTCTTAATTTGTAGCTTAAATTTAAGTGTTTGTATTTGTAAGTGCCAGCTATTGTTGCATGCAAGATCCTTAGATAGCACTTAGGTTTTGGTTATTTGGGAGTTAAGTCATTCGCTTAAATATCATTGGGTATATCATTCTAGTTGTAACAAGTTGGGGCTGTACAAGCAGTTGGGGAACGCCTGCAGACATATCTTTTTTTTTTTTTGGCCATTGTATTGTAATGTATATGCTGTGTTGTCAATAAAATTTGGGGCTATATTTTTCAGAGTATGTTTGTTTATTGTATGGTCTAGACTTGAATTTCTTGTTGCTATAGGGAATTTTACTAACAGTTGTGAAGTCACAGGAAGTCTAATGTAACTGTCTTTTCTCACAAATCCCCATTATGTGAGTACAATGTATGGTGGCCACCAAGAAGTTAGATTCAAGCTAAACAATCCATCCATCACTTGAAAAAAATTTGCTACTTGACAAAACAAAATCCTAACTAATAAACTTTAATTACTTTCCCTATGCCATGTGTTGTAAATCTAACCAAACTAGTACATATCCTTAACATCCAAAATATGACCAAGTTTAGTCTAAAAGAATTTTCACATGAGACCGTAAATTGTGTTGACATTCTTTACAAGATTTCTGTGTATGAAGTACTGGATGAAAGTTGAAAGCCATCAATCGCCTTTCAGCAAAATGCCTACATCAATAAAATGGGACAATGGGCTGTTGAGAAAAAGGGACAAAATGTATGACAACTGATGCTAAGTGAAAAAACCACTAAGGAAGCAGCAATTTTTTTAATTAGCACCTGTTAAAGTGTTATAGACTTAAACGTGAACCCTCAAAATTCCCGAGTGAGCAGATAATGTACATCAGTGAGTGATCATGAAACATTTTTAAAATAACCTTTTTAAAAGTTATAGCGGCACCAGTGATGGTAGGCTAAAAATGGAGTATAATTTAAATAATGGACACCTTTCTTGCCTCTCAGTGGATTATCCTCTTGAGCAAACAAATTCTGTTGCCCTATCACAACAAAGGCTTCACTCAATTCAATGTCCACCCACTCAACAATTTTGTCCCTTGTCAAAATATTAAGGAGTTTTTTTTTCTTGATGCCTTCATTAATGGTGCATAATGTAAACCAGATATGTGTACAGATGCTGACTTAAGACGGTCTTTTCATTGTTATTAATTATTCATCTTTTCCTCTTCATAGACACATTGGGCCACCACCAGCAATTTTCTTGGCAGTCCCCCATGACAGTCCTGTCTCTGCTTCCCTGCTGTACACCTAATGCCTAATGTCTTCCTTGGCCTTCATTGCTTTCTTTTTCCATGAGGCATCCAGTTTAGTGCCATTCCTGCGATGTCTTCTGGATTCGTTCTTAGGATGTGTCCCATCCATCACCATCTTCTTTTTTCAATTAATTTAGAAACTGCTTCCATTTCCATCTCTCCAATTTATCATTTGAGATGGTGTTAGGCCAGTGTACTCGCTTTTATCCTTCACAAGCACTTAGTTTGGAAAGAGTCCAGTGATCTGATGGTTTCGGTTGTTACTTTCCAGGATTCGCTAGTAGGACGCTAAGGACATTACTTTTAAAAGTCTACATTCGTTCTTAGAGATATTCTTGTTCATCAGGTTTTTTGCATGGCTGCAAAGGCTTGTTTGACTTTATAGATGCCTGATTTAATTTCAGCTAGCAGTCACCTTCATCATTGAGACTGCTGCCTAAATATGTGAAATCTTTTACTTCCTCTACTTGTGTGTTGATTATTTTAAAAGGTTCTTTATTGTTGTTATTATTGACAGTAAAAGCTTTTTAACTCTCTATTTTAAATAAGGCACAACTGTCCTGTAAAAACTTTCAGCAGGAATACTTACCTCAACACCAACCACTATTGGGTTGTATTGGTAAGATTTAATCTACACATTAAGAAGTTATAAGAAAGATGCTTAAGCCTTTCACTTTCAGGGGAAAAGCCAAGTAAAAATTTCAATCAAAATAAGAAACAAAGAGGTTAGTTTAGCAGACCAAATGTATACAAAAAAAGCTAAAATTCTGGCAACAACCTGAAGTGCCCTTTTGAAAATAAAATGAAACAGTTTGTATTTTTTCAATTTTAATCAAACAAAAAAAAACTGGTATCACAAACTAGGATTGCACATTGTAAATATATTAATAGCATACCGTTATTGTACACAATTCATCAATATCCTTCAAATGCTGATCAAACAAAATTATTACAAATGAACTTCGTTGTAGCAAATTAGTCATGTTTTTTTGATGTGTAGCTGATAAATAAAAATGTGACAAAGATCCGAGATCAATTTCAATTTACAGTTACTCTAATGCTATTTGTATCTAAAAAGACATAAACAAAGACATGTGACTAATTCTTTAGAGACTAGTTCTTTAAATACTGGAAATTAAGATGAAATTTGTGTCCATATATAATTTTAGGGGATTAGGATTTTTAAACATCAGCAATGAAAATCATATTGATTTCTAGATTTTAATTACTTTATCAAATGATTCTTATATACACAAAATTATAGTGAAAACTAAGTACACTATTGTCATATATCATCTACTCACTACCAACATTATCAAGGTCCAAATGTAACAAAATTATTAAAAACTATATATACATTGTAAAAATGAGTGTTCTCTTAAATAGTAATTGAATTACAAGACTTAAATATTTGGTACCTAAGATGCATCGATAATAATTGAGCATTGACAATTTTAAAAATGACTAATCCATTACAATACTCCCCATCAACATAATTTCATTACATAATTATTTACAATGTCTTCATACGTGTGCTACTCTGTAATATCTTTTCAGCATCTTAATACACAAAAAGTTTAGGAAAAACCATTTCCTGCTGAGGTTCAGAGGTCAGTCTATCCTGGGAGACCATGTCCAAAATCTCATTCAGTTTGTTATGAAAATGGGTTGACTGAAAGGGAACAGCAATATAATTTTTATCAGAAAAACAAATGCTCATGTTATAGAAAAACCACTGTATTTTATCTGACAAGGACAGAGTGGCTGAAGTAGTGACTAGGATCAAATTAAGAATAACAATGTTTTTCTCACAAACTCTACTGGCAATAAGATAGTTGCTTACCTTTGAATGAGCAACAATGTCTTCAAATGGGGCAGAACGGAACATGTTAACAACTTCTCTCCTGTGTTTTTCTTCTTCAGCTTTACCAACAGAATTATCTTCAGCTTTAAAACAGACAAATTATAAAAAAATAATTTAAAAAACAACCCTTTACCAACAGAATTATCTTCAGCTTTAAAACAGACAAATTATAAAAAAATAATTTAAAAAACAACCCTTTACCAACAGAATTATCTTCAGCTTTAAAACAGACAAATTATAAAAAAATAATTTTAAAAACAACCTTTTACCAACAGAATTATCTTCAGCTTTAAAACAGACAAATTATAAAAAAATAATTTAAAAAACAACCCTTTACCAACAGAATTATCTTCAGCTTTAAAACAGACAAATTGTAAAAAATAATTTAAAAAACAACCCTTTACTAACAGAATTTATAGCTTTAAAGGGACAGATTCAATACAATGTAAAATAAAACCCAATAGCTTAAGTTAATGTTTTAATTTTGGAGAGAAACCAAAATTAAACAAATACTGCATTGAAGATTATTCTTGGGTATGATAAAGGCTATAGAAGCACATCACATGTTCTTAGATGGACAAAGGCTACAGAAACAAATCCAGAATGAAATGCAGGCTGAAGTCTAAGTCAACATGCAATATGGCGCATAGCATGTTAACAAGTAATTATTAAATTGGAGAGAAATTCCTTTACAACATTACAATAACACACAGAGAAGAAGTCATTTAAAAGTTTTTGAGCACTTTTGATTACATAGGCTAGGAGATGTAAGTAAAAAAAAATAAACATTTTACCCAACATTTTCTTCAAAGACTCCACAGTTATTTCCTCCGTCTTTTTCTGTAGCGAAAGATAGAAACAAAACACTTTTAGAAGCATAACCCTTTCTCATCTAAAACATATGCAACAAATTGATTTCACAAATGACATTAATTACTCCATCGGTGTGGTTGAGTCGGTAAAGCTCATGGTTGCTAAACCGAAAAGTCTCGAGTTCGAACCTTCGGGCAGATGAGGCTCGTTAGCTGGGGACTAAAGAATTAGTCACATGTCTTCTAGAGAGACAACTCCAAAATCAAACAACTGCTGCCTTGTAGTTTGTTCTTAGTTGGACAAAGGCTATGGAAGCAAATCCAAAAAGAAAAGCAGGCTGAAATCGGAGTCAATGGCCTCAATGGCGCATAACCAGTTGACACATATCCTTAATTGTGTTGGAGGGGGATTCCTTACAACACTAAAAATTAAGAACGAAGAAGAAAAAGAAGACTCTATTGATAAAAGACAAGGGAAAAATCTGAAAATTTTTGTCAAAAAAAATATACAATCTATATACATAAATTACATAGAAATTTGGTTGCATTACATGAAAATAAATCAGCAAAAAGTTTAATTCATATAACTATTTTTTAAGTAATTTTTTCATTAAATATTAGAAACACGTAAATCTTAAGCAAAATTCTGCAAATGGTCAGGTTACTTACAGATACATGCGGAGAACCATCAGTTCCTTCCATTTCAATATTAATGGAACCAACATCACTAACACTAGTTCCCCCTTCACCAGAGCCTACTATCAAGAATAAAGACACATCGTAAACACCTCTGGAAACAATGAGAGGATGTTATAACTTAAAACTTCTCTATCAGCATAAATAAACGGAAAATTATGGAAAAAAAATTGCAAGAGTCTTTAGTAGATAGCTAAACAAGATTTGTTTAGAATAGTGAGTTTTCTTATGTTAAACGCAATCAGTCTTGGGTTGCTTATTTTCTACTTTCATAGTTTGATTCCCTGAACTTCAGTCCAGCTTCACTATTATCACACTCAATGAGAATCCAATCCATGAAAAGATTTAGGTGGTTCAGTATTTAACTTAATCAACATAAATAGTAAAAGTAGTAAAAGGAAGCAGTTTTGAATGAAATAAAATTGAGATTTTTAACACATTTTTAATAGACCAACAAAACAGTCTGACTTGACTTACCCCCAAAGCCTAAGTTTGGTCTAGCCGAGAATGGTGTGCTTAGTCTTGTAACATCTAAGCCAGAGCTACGCAGGCATTCAGCCAACTTATCTTGATGAAACAAGCAACTCTCTTTAACTTCAAAGTTTTTGGGGTAGCTGTCAAAACATTTGAATAAAAACAAAACATTTATCTAGTATATACATGACAGAGACACCTTTGAAAAAAACAACAGAATATTATTTTAGTAATTCTAATACAAAAATGTATAATATAAATGATTTTAAAGATAATGCCATTTAAATACTTGAGTCTACCTATCTTTTATCAAATCATGATACAGATACATTAAACTTACTTTATATTCAACTACAGTAAAACTTCTAAAAATGTTAAATTGAAAGGTGGACAAATATTGAGCAAGCAATTGATGGTAGAAAAAAAAAATTCAATTTGCTATGGGCTAATGTTCTTTTTTAATTAATTAAAAAAAAAAATACTGCTGTAGTATGCATCACATATAAGAAAGTGAATTAAGTTTTAAGTATTCAAATTTTACAAGATATAAAGCATAGGAGATGATGCACATATTATATAACAACTTGGACCCCCCCCCCCCCCCCCATAAAATATTTTATGTCTACAAAACCCATACAAATGTAAAAAAGGGGGATAACAACCCCTTTCTTCACAGAACAATGAATTACAAAAGGCATTTGGTATGCTTTTTAAAAATTACTGTTACTGTGTTTTGACTAAAAAAATATTTGTTTAATCATTATACATGAACAGAGATTTTGAAATAATTGAATTCATCTTATGTGCTATGTAACTATTATATTTCCCATGATCAGAACCCAACTCCATCTAACAAAGGTATAAACCACTACCCGCCCCCCATAGTGTTACATAATATATGCCCAATCAATATGAAAAAAAAGGAAAAAAGAAAATTTATAATCTATACTGCAAGATCATTTAAGGTGAAAAATACACTTTTTTTTCTCTAATTAAAAACTTTAAAATAAAAACTTAATAGTATTTATATAATCAGCATAAAGGTAAATATGTAGATAAGATTATTTACTTATTTTAAAAACATTTTCACAATTTTTAAGAGATGTTTTTTTTGCCCACAACTAGAAGAGCTCGGATTAGGACATGTTAATAAAAACAAAACAAAAAGTAACCTGTAAACAAAATAAACACAAAACACAGAACTTGTTAATATCTCAGGTTTGATGTAGCACAAAGCTCCAAAACTATGGATGAGTTTCAGAGTATGGCACGTCTCATGCTAATCATCCAGATGAACTAATGACACAAACATTCATACCATTTAACTAATAACACAAAAAATAAATTTCAAGATAGCAAGTTGACAACACCTTTTTTTAACCTAAATGGATGATGTCGAATAAAAAAATAAAATAAAATTAGATGAAGATTTTGTGTTGTATAGAATGAACACCACTGAAATAATTTCGACAATCTGAAAGAAAATTCAACCACCCTAGATTCATTCACTAATTACTAGACAAAACAAGTCTTAAAAAGCGTTAAATAAAGTATTACTGGATAATCAGTTATAATTTTCCTTATTAATGATGAACTAAAAAAGCCTTAGAAACTATATAACTGTACCTGTAAATAATTTGTTTTTAATGTAAGCAAAATGCATGAAATTTTTTTTTTAGCAGTAATAATTATAATCAAAACGGATGAGTAAACTAGCTGCAACTAAATTATATATCCACTAAATTGAGATTTTATATGTAAGAACAGCTAAATAGGATGAAGCTCTCTGTGCGCTGAAAAGCAGATAGTTGTTTACTTAGAATTCACTAATATGGAAGATATTGTGGCTGTGGCAACATCATGTGCTGTAAAGAGTGCCGTTGTTAATGTGAAGATTTTAGAGTCAGACCAATCAAATGCAGCTATACACGGGAACTAAAATGAGTTTTTTTTTAACATTTTCAAAAGTGTAACTGTTATATTGCTTATGCAAGATTGTGGTTTTATTTATATTTTTTAAATAAGTGTTTCTGTTTTTACTAAAATAGTGGTGCTCCTTTAACTAATACTCAGCACAAGATTATATTTGTATTTGTTTTTGAAAAAAGTACAAATGAAAAAAAAAAAACAATTTAAAAATGCAACATTTAACAAAACAACTGTTAGAAATGCAAAACATTAGGAAAGAGAAACTTTCCTGTAAGTTTTCGTTGTCTATTCAAAGAAATTTTGTTTTAGTCAAGTTAAAAAAAAAATGGTTGCGTGGATGGATTTGTTGAAAGACAGCAAGAATAAGCATGCAGCATGGGCAGTGTACTTACAGCTCGGACTCTTCGAGGTCTGACCAGCTGTAGAGAGAGTGGTCAGGAGATGGGTTATAAGTTAGCCCCAGCCACAGTTTTATCACATTTTCTACTGTGGTTTACCCCAGTCACTAACCATTTTATTAAATAACCATAACCTATCCTAATGCAAAAAGGTTAAAAAATTTGTTTTAAATAAAAATAGATGAAGACCATCACTTAAATGCAAAATATAAAAGTTTATATAAAAATACAATAAAATTAATTTAAATTACCATAACCAATTAAATATATATTTATATAACCTATGCAAAAATGATAAATAAAGGTCAAAATGAATAATAAAACAGATGAGGACCATGAGTTTTTAAAACACACTTGCAGGACTCAAATTCTAATGTGATTTTTTTAAAAATTTCAAATGTTGGATAACCATATATACTGTAAATCAAATTGTTACCCAAAAAACACACAAGGTACAGTGAAGGCAAGGTAAACAAAGCTAAAGAATAACAGAGCAAAGCCAGCACAACTTTAGCAGAAATATATACATGGGAATTGTTTAATTATTTTAATTACCATGATTAAATTTTATTATCAATAGTTCTTACTGTTTCGTTCTACAACATACAAATCTAGCCGTTATGCAGAAAGAAATTCTTTCAATTCTTATATTTTTGTTATCTTACAAAACTTTGAAGCACTTTACAAAGTCAAAAGGTAAGTAGTACTGCTCCTTCCCAGAGTTAGGCTATTTGGAAATCATAAAGCTTATTAAAAGATTTAGAGTTCGTTCTTTTAATATAATATACATTTGGTTGGATCAATTTAATTCTAAATTATTTTTTTATGAGTGAAACTTTACATGCTTTATAATTTGAAATTATTTCTAAATTTATTGTAACAAAAAATAACACCCGTGAATAAATATTAGGCCACAGAAGAACCCCCCAAAAAAATCATAATTCTGTATATATTAGCTGTGTAAAATTAAAATAAAATGGGTTGGATCATTCATACATCAGCTGACAACAAATCCAAAAACAAAACAAACCTGTGAGGTCGATTGTTGCGGTTAAAGGCAAAATCTGGCAATAAGTATGGCGCATCATTTTCTCTGTTCTCTACAACCTGCGGACAAAAAATAATAAATGCAAAATGTTTGTTAGCTAACTGCTATCAATTTCCATTGACAAGTTGCAATTGCTCCACTAAAATTGTGGATGTTCATTTTTCACAATATGATTTTAATAGCATGGTTTATATTTCTCGAGCTTAAAGCAGGGGGAAGCAAACTAAAGTAGTGATTTCAAATTTAAAAGAAAATACTGACTTGCACGTAATATAAATCATATATTGGGTATAATTATAATAAATAAACTGGTTGGGGGTTGGTCAACTAGAAGGTTAACATGTGACATTCTTTATTAAGAGAAATGAATAATGTTTCAAATTTAAGTACATCCATCAGTAATTTGAAAAAATGCTCACCCTCAAAACATTATGATACAAGGAGCCGGCGCTTGTCAATTGTCCGAGAACATTTAAGAATGCTGCAACAAGACTATGAATGGCACACAAATGGGTGACTGGAAGAGAACTGTTTAAGGCCATTTGCTGCGATAAAAACAAACAAGGTAATTAAAAAGTCTAGTGACAATTTTAGCGCAATTTCCTTATGTTATCTAAAAATAGCTCTGTCGTAGCGTAAATCAAGAGCAGGGTTAGTAAAACCATTGGTTAAAATACATGTTTTATTTACAATAGAGTTACATGAGAAAAAACCATTGCGCGCCTAGCTACTGAACGTGATGACGCAGCCATTGAACGTGATGGCGCAGCTATTGAACGTGATGACGCGTGTGGTGTGGTTGGAAAAAATGCCTACTTTTAATTAATTAAAAAAAAATGTTGTGACCGAACGAAAGGATATTTTTGAAAACTTTCTTCGGCAATATTGTTCTAAATTATGGCAGGAATCGATTGGTAAATGTTTCAAGTCGCTAAGTGGTCTGGTTGCCGAGATATGGGCCAAAAACTGCATTTTTTCTATCTTCTTCTTCTTCGTTCTTAATTATCAGTGTTTGAGGGGGATCGAGATTTATCTGCCAGTGGGTTTGAACTCGAGACTTTGTTCGAATTTATCAACCATGAGCTTTTTGCTGACTCGACCACGCCTCCAACACAATTAAGCGTTACGTGTCAACTGTTTATGCGCCATCGAGGCCATTGACTCCGATTTTAGCCTGCTTTTCTTTTTTTTGGATTTGCTTCCATAGCCTTTGTCCAACCAAGAACAAACTACAAGGCAGTAGTTGTTTAATTTTGGAGTTGTCTCTCCTAGAAGAGTGGCTGTCCCCAGCTAACGAGCCTTATCTGCCCGAGGGTTCGAACTCGAGACTTTTCGGTTTAGCAACCATGAGCTTTACCGACTCGACCACGCCGACCCCCCATTTTTTCTATGTTTTTTGACTTTTCCGGGAAATCCATGAAAGAAACCCGGAATTTTTTTGGCCTATGTTCATCCTGGTAACTTGCTTAACATAATTGCTTTTGGAACTAGTCATCGATATTGCTTCGTTGAGGAGGAGATACGACTTAAAGCTGCGGACACACATCCATCCATTCCCAGAAAAGACGAGTTAATAAACGCAATTCTCCAGAATGGAAATTGCGCTAAAAAATACTTTTTTAAACCATTATAAAATTAAAGAGCTCATAAGGAGCTTATCAAGAATATAAAAATTATGATTAGAGAAATGTGAGTAAAGTTTGAGGGTCACCTGGATGTCTAGTGCTAGCCGCACCAGTTCAATGATAACCTCATCTTGACCAACCTCCAGGCATATCAGACACATGGTGCAGTAGATGGCCTCAAAGTTGTCCACACGATTTGACTCCAGCTGCAGGTTCTCCAGAATGTGCCAGTACAGCTGCATCCCACTCTGGCCATTTTGAAATTTAAGCGATCAATCAAAAATAATTTTTTAAATTAAATTTTTAAGTAAATTCATTTACGAATTTAAAAAATATTTTAAAACTTTATCTCAGATTATGACAGTACAAATCTATCATTTTAGTAGATTTTAAAAATACATTAGCTACTACAGCTAAAGATTAATTACAATATCAATCTTGCCATAGATGTATGCAGCTTGATAACTTACCTTTTTCATGAAGAGTAAATCATGACGGTTGTTAATTTTGATAGTCAGGTGTAAAGTAGCTATGTCCTTTGGTAAACTAAAAACATTAAAAAACTTTTTGAAAAATATCCTGAATAACAGCAGTCACAATAGATCAGTCAAATTATATCTAAAAAAATTATATGAAATATACAGTCTAATAAAATGTGTTAATTTTTAAAAAGGCGAACAATAACTATGATGGGGACATAAAACACTGTAACTTACGTGATGTGTTTTAACTTAAATGCATTGCCATGGCGGTCAAATAGTGTATGTAGAATCTCTTGAACAATTATGCGCATGCCTGGGTCATCAATTAATGAGATGCGCAACAACGGATGAAGAAATTCTGGTGGGAAGGCTTGGGAGAGGCCAACTGTCTTGTATTTAGTGGCCACCTGCGTCAACATGTAAGAAAGACTTTAGAGGACAAAACAAATCAGGGAGAAATTTAAAACACATGATAAATTAGAAACATTTGAAGACATGAAATTATTCTTCCTTCACCTTGAGAAGAGTCCTAAGCAAGTTCACAGATAACTGCTTGTCCATTTTTCTAATTTAAAAAAAGTAAAACATGAATTTAGCATTTCTTAGGTTATATTTAACTTTAATGTAACATTTTTTTAAAGAGTTATTTGACCCATAGCTATGCTTTCCCTAGATCACTACCATTATCCAATTCCTGACCCTGTAGCTCCCACCAGTGATATTTTTACAGAGAAAACAATTTAAATATTATTATAAGGCTGGCTAAGTAAATATCTGGTTTGAATGCAATTTATCACTCAAATGAAACATTCAGGTGTATTTTATGTTCAAATAAAAATATGTCCAATCATAAACTATATTTTTAGTTTAAAAACAAATCATGAATGAAAGCAAAACGAACCCGATTTCCTCTTCATTTGTAAACTGTGGGAACTTGCCCATTATAAACATCATAATCTCAATTTTCTGGTAATCTGGCAAGTTGTTGGCAAATTCACCTGGCAAATCAAAAGAAAATCATTACCACACACCCTTCACATTCAATATGAGATGCTATTGTATGGAAGATGAGGGTAAGAAATGATTGTATCATATCTAGTACATTTAGGCAGTATTACAATACTAGGATTTGATATCAGCTAGATGATGTTTGGGAATGGATGTAGAACTGAAATCACCAATAGTGTTGACAACCACTTCCTCAAACTTAATCTCTTCATTGCGCTGGTGCTCCTCTGAGCTCTTCCTGTCAATGGAGATCCTAAGGTGGCGGAGCAGGTTGTTGAACACTTCCAACACAGATGGGCCTGCAGGCAAAAAATAAAATTTTTATATTATTTAGTTAATTTACAAGTCAGCATGGTAAAATGGTAAGGCACACAATCTCTAACCAGGAAAGTCTTGGGTCTAGTATTAGGACTCAAATAGCACAGAATACTGTCTCAGGAGTTAGACTACCATTAGCCAGGCAGGACTCGACGTAGCGAACTCCAATTAACTGGCAAATGTGTGGGCTTGGGAGCCTCACGAAGAAATTGGTTTGGTCGCTTCTTATCCGTGGGCTCGCACCAGGCTTGCCTTCCCCCCACCAGGCGCAGGACATTGTCCTACCTGTATTAGAACTACCTGAGTTTACCCAGCTCTAATGGATGGTGTGGTCGAATGGTAGAGCATTTGTTTTCTAACCCAAAAGTCTTGAGTTTGGGTCCCTGACTAGAGTCATAGCACATCCCTGAGTCAACCCAGGGAAAGTAAAGGCGGCTGGGCATCGGACTGACTACACTATCCCTTCATATGGCGAGGTCACAGAAACAGATGCACTCTATTTCAGCTGCCCAATGGGAACAGGTTTGAATGGGAACTTTACTTACAAAGGACTGACATGGTATTCTTAATTTGGATTTTAGGTAGAAAGAAAAAAAGCTGCTGTGTTTGATTGAAGAGAAAATAAAATGATAACTGACCAGTAGAATTTCCTGCGGATATAAGTACAGCCTCATAGAGAACAGTAACAATGCATGTCTTGATACGAGGATCACTCTTTGCATGTTTGTCTACATGGGTAAGCAGCATTTGTACAACCAAATAACCATACTGGCTCTGGGGGGAAATTAACAGCTTTGTGTTATGACCACTTTGAATACTGCAAAGTATTTTTCCTAGTTCAAATTGCTAAACACTAAATTACAAACAACACAAACTACCAATAATCAAGAACAAATTTTAAGGGTATGACATGATTGAATACTTGATAAGTATTGGGTTCAAATTACACTAATTGCCTAACTTAAGACAGAGAGAGCAAAGAGGGCTGGGTAATGTACATGCCACACAATCCCTAGATTTATATATGATGTAGTAACAGAAACATATTTCTAGATCTAAGTATAACTTGCCAAAAAAATGGAACAAAAAAAAAATTTCAGTCAGATTTGCGGAGTTCATACAATTTTAGATTTTTTTTTTATTTCAGGAAAATTACAGGTTTTAACAATTATTTTAATGTCATGAGAACTCCAGGTTCTCTTGGAATTTTAAGAGGTCACACAAACTCTGCTTATGGATTGCCAAGTCCTCAAAATGGTATATTCCTACAGTTTAAATCAAATTTGTGACACACAAGACTTCAGGCTGATGAGACATTAATATAAAGAATAATCCAGCTTCAAATGTTTAGCTTAAATTTTTTGTGGCTTCTGTATTTATGATACATTTCACTGTATAGAGACATTGAGAAAAAAAAAGCTGTACCAACCTGTACAGAGAACATGATGATCTTGAAGACTCGAATGGCAAAGTCATTTGGTACCCACAGGTTATGGTTGTCTAGGTGACTGTATATAAAAATAATGCTCCTAACAACAACTGATACTTAAAATGTTGATTGAATAAATAATACATCAAATACTGCAATTTGTTCTCTCGAGGGAAAGGAACAATGAGTAAACCTCAGACAAGCCATACAATAGGTACGGCAACATTATGTTTCTGGAACATGAAGTTGGTTCTAGCAAAATACTCTTGTGGTTGGCTTCTGATAATATGGAATATGTGCGACAAGAAAGCATTTTGCACCAACAGACAAGGATCTAGACTCTGCCCCCAAAGAACACCACTGAAAGAAATTTTGTGTAGAAAGGATTGCTGATTGCAAAACCACTGCTTGTTCTTCAGCAACGTTGGACATGTTTTATTACCCTCCTCCTATGTTACATTTAAGAAAGAATGTGAAGGATGATGTTCTTAACTGATTCAGACAAAAATGCTTTAATTATTTTATCATTATATAAAAAATTAATGCTTACAAGATTAATTAGTTCTTCTGAGAAGGTATGATGCTGTACTTACATTAATACTGGTGATAAAACAGACTTGATGTTTCCATAGGAAGCACGGCAAATAAGATCTCGGAACACGACCTCGGCTAGATGGGCTGGGTTATCTTCTTCTCTAGGACTTTCAGCGTCTCCATCTTCATCTGCTGGTCTGACCACAGGAGACAGGGATTTAAAATGACTTTCTACACCGAAATAACAGATTAGACATACCCTATTTACATTGACTTCAAATAAAATAGTGCTACCTACTTTGATGAATATGAAAAATTAATCCATGATTACAAAGGATGTACTTAAAGTTATTTAAATTACATTGGGATTGATCCACTTAAAAAAAAATTCCAATGGAAACAGTTAGGTTATATATTAAAAAAAATAGATGAATTTTAATTATATGAATGATAAAGTACAGAATTAATATTAACATGAGTTTTAATTATTTAAAGAATAAAGTAGAAAATCAATTAAAATATGGGTGAATAAATATCAAGCTACTAAGTTTCTAAACGGTGAATAAAAGCATTTTGCATCAACTAAACTAAAAATACTAACCCGTGTTCTTGCATGTTGTACAGAAGTGAGGGAACAATTTTGTCCATGTGCACGGCCTCCCAGATGTTGACCTGCAAGTCATCACTAATGGTCTTCCTGACAACACCTTGTAGACCCTTCAGTCCAGCCTGGCGGAGTCTGCGGCGACAGCAAAATGCACTTAATACTTTCTCCACAATGGTAGCTTTCTTTGTGACAACCATCTTAACACTTAACCCCTAGATCCAATTTCTTGTTTTGTTTTTTTTTAAACCTAGGGGCCTACTTGAATATATTCTTTCTTAATATATAAAAATATCCCTTTTGTCATCCTGAAAAGTTATTTTTCTGTTTTTGAAACTTGTTTCAGTTTTTAGTCTCCATTTTACAAAAGTAACTGTTACATAAAGCCAAGAACATATTCACAAGTGAAAACTATTTCTATAGAACCAAGCTTAGTATTAACACTTTAGATCAGTTGTACAAAAACATCTAATCAATCTTTTGGCCAGCAAAAGTTGAATCACACAACGAATACCTTAGAGGATTAAAATTTAATCTTCTAATCAATAATCCCAAACACCAATAGGATTCTATCTCTTGTAATCGTTAACATGTCTCTAGCAAGCCGCAAATAACTGTATTTTTATTTAAAACAAAGTATATTTTAATTTGTAGATTAATTGTTTATGCTAAATCAGGTAAAACTTCTAATATCAGATATAATATAATTAAATTTACTACCCTACAGTAAGGTATTAGATTAAATAAAAGAACAATTATCACTATGACTTAGATTCAAAATTATCATTTTTTTTTTAAATTACTGTTTTAACCCTTGAACACAATCCATGTAACTAAAAATAACTTAAACACCTAGATGAATTAAGAGTAAATAACTAAACCCGGCAAAAAGAGCTAGATCTAATGCCAAATCAATAAATGCACACTTAATAAGTACTAATGCTAAACAGAAATCTGTATCTTTCAATAAGACCTAATGCCAAAAAAAAAATGGAATACTTCAATAGGTTCTAATCCCAAGTAAATAATGCACAAGTCAATAAGATAGAGTACACTGTAAATAACAGCACACTTCAGTAAGATAGAATACTATGTAAATATTAACTGCACTTATTAATAACAATCTGTGCACCAATAGGAGCCAACAACACATTAAACAAAAGCAAGAGAAACCCATCACAAACAACATGATTCTCCACTGGTGGTCACCTCTCACTCACAATGCCTGCAAGCCAGTTTTTCTAGACACAGCAAGTACCTCATTGATTTTATTGATCACTCCCAGCCCCCTCCCCTCCCTAACATAGTCTTAGCATGAACAAGACAGCTGAAGATAAAATACCCGGGCAAGAGATTATATATGAGAAGGTGAAAAAAACAAAAAAACAACAACAGGAAAATCTAAATTCTTGTGAAGTAAGCTTTAAGGTTAACAAGGACAACCATTTTCTCAAACTGTACAGGCCTACCATTAACATTACATTTTTATAAGACATTTCTGACAGCTCTGCTGAAGAGAAATCAATTGCAATCATAAAGTCAAAAAGAAATAAGTGCAATACTTGTCGATATAATAGGTCAAATTTACTTCATAAAATGTCAAAAATAATGAAAAGATAGGGTCATCAAACCTACAGTATCAATTAAATAGATTTAACACTAGAGAATATATTTATAAATTTATTTTCTTATTTCATTACTTATAATGGAAACAGAAGAATAATTTCTAATTAAAATGTAATCATTTGCATGAGGTACTTGAATACATTTTAGCTTATTTTATTTTGGTGACCTAACAAAACATTTCAAACTATATGGATTAAAAGTTGAGGGTATACATAAAGAGTATACTAAACTACTGTTAAGACACCGTAACAAAAAAAAACAAGTACATAAAAGTCATTTGTATGAGCAGTAATGTTAATCAAAACTCAAGGTTACAGATGGGCTTTTTGATTGACAAACTTTGTGTAGGAGATGCTTGTATTGGGGCAACAGGTGGTAGGGGAAACATTCAGTGAAAACACCACAACCAGCAATAAAAAACATAGGTAGACAGAATAGCTCAACCTTTTATGATCAGGTAAAACAAAAACCCTTCTAAAAGGCAGAATGAAAAACATGTAATAGGCCTAATAAGAAAAAGCTGTAAAACATTTTTCAGCTGCTGTCATGTCAAGATTTACTTGTAATTTGTGGGAAAATGGAACTTGACAAACTAAAGTAAAAAAATAAGACTTCATACTAGAACTTGTTAGTTATAATTATTCCAATTAAATTTTACAAGAAAATAATTCCAAGACTATTAAGGACTGACATTACGCAAGTAAATACTGAACCACTCAATTAGTTCATAAATAACATTAATGAGCTGTGTGTGACTCATAAAAGAATTGACTTATTGATACTCTATTTTTAAGCCTCAATCAATAGTCAGCTCTACTTTAGATACAACAAACACAAAGCTATGACCTTCCCTCTTTTTCTAAATTTAACTTTTTTTAAATCAATAGGCTGCATCTAGTAAATGGGTTTGGAACATTAGCTAGATAACCTATTCTTGCTAATAACTATTGTATGTGTTATGTAAAAAAAAAAAACCATAAATTTATAAATGCACAGGTTATCTATAGATTGCCAGACAAATTTTAATAATATAATAAAATTATATCTAAACAGAAATTACATTTGTAAAATTTAGCATTTTAAATGTCACATAAAAATAAAACTACCTGTAATGTAAATACACTATACCCCAGAACCTATTTTTTAGGTATGATTAATTCACTTATCTGCAAGACACTAATTATCATAAAATTTTGTGTAACCTTTCTTAATAGTAAATCAGAAATATTTTTTTAAGACTTGCTTCATAAAAATCATGTCAACCAATCAAAAAGTAAATTTAGTTAAAACATTTTTAGGGCAGGAATGTCTTTTTTTAACTGTTAAATTACAAAATATTTAAATGTTATGTAAACTTATACAAAAAGGTGACTGAATTATCGCAGGACCAGCTGTTTGTTAGAAATTTCAATGCGTTTAAAATAAAACAGTTTATGTTCATTTTGAACTTACTTTCTTCTAGTTGGTGGGTCGCTGTTATTATTATGACAGAGAGAGCTGAACTTGGAAACAAAGAAGTCGTATCGTCTGTGGTAGGATGGGGCATCTTCTTCAACATTGGCAAATTTCACAAACTGAACAGTAAAACAGACTAGAATGAGTTGACATTTGCAAAAGTTTAAAGAAAAAAAAAAGAGAACTACAGAGCCATTACATGTTTTTAACAAAATATCCATTTATAAAGTTAGTACTTATGACAGAAAATTTGAGTATATGAGTATAGATCATGTTTAAAGCATGAAATCATCAATTTAAAAAGCAAACAACAAATATACCTCTGGTTTAATAGGAATCTTGTCAGAAAAAAAAATGTATTTGGATACTAGAACAACTCCCATCTGCTTTTACTTTCTCTGACTTAAATACTATGGTACCTGTTTCATTCAGCAAAGTTAATGTCTTGATGTATCTCCAGCTTTAGTTAAGATGTACCCTTTGTTTTTAACTAGACTTGTATTTTATAAAAATGGTTAGAATGAAATTATTTAGACAACAACAAAAGCCTTTAAAAAAATGTATCTAACCGATTGTGTTGCTCTTATTTGCATTTTCGGATCACCACATTCAAGTAATTTTTGCACCATTTTCAGAAAACTTTCAACAAACAAGTTTAGTGAGTGAGCATGGCAGGAAACGAGCAGTTGGTCCAGTATTTCCATCGATATAAAAACATATCTGCATTTGAAGAAAAAGATGATACTATAAGCTGTCATTCATTAAAGTTGTTAAAAGGACAAATGAATGAGAGTTTTTACAGCAAATGAAGATTATAATGCTAGGACCAGATCTACTGCTTGTCTCTGAATGATACTTTTCAATCCACAAAATTTAATGCAATTTAAATCACAAAGCCAATATTTTTTTTGGCTTTACCGTATAACATAAGTTGTACTCATTGTATTATATCCAAATATGCTTCTAACCAGTATTTTATGATATGACATAAAATAAAAGCATTAATATGAAATTGAAGCCCATCTATCCAATACTTACTGCGATCTATGACGATTGATATCTGCGCTCAATTTTCTTTCCAAATACTGACCAATCCTATCCAGCTTCTCTGGCCTTGAAGACAATGCATAAAAGGTCAGCTTCTCCATATTACTTTTGACAAGCCCATCCTGTTGGGAAGTAACAGTTTAATAAAATTGGTTAAAATTAAAGGTGAAAGAATGCTATGTTGATAAACAAAATTAGCTTATAAGTAAAATACTTCACTAACTGAAACTCAAAGTAGTAAGAATAATTTAAAGAATAGGTATGAAAAGGTATAAATAACACAGCAATACTTACATTAGGATTAGCAGGGAAAATGTTATCCACTAATCTTTTGTACCGAGGCTTCAATGCAGTACAACACACACAAAAGCCTAAAATATTGTTTCAATAGGGAAGAGTTTTTATATTTTATCAAATAATAAAATAGCAATAATTAAATTACCACTGAAATACAAGTTACTAAATCTTGCTTTTTAATGAAACAATAAAAACATTACAACTTCCTTTTTACTTTCTCGTATATACAAAGTATAGAGAAAGTCTTGTAATTGTGCAAAAAAAAAAAATTCGAGATTTTTACAAATCTCAATGTTTTACTCCGCACTGATACGGAAAAACATAATTTTGCAATCTTGTCCGTATGTCTGTGTGTGTGTGTAAACACGATAACTTGAGTACCGTTACAGCTAGGTTGTTGAAATTTCATATATAAGTATTTTATCAAAATCGTAGATCCGTACAACTTTTGAGCAATTTCCGATAACCGGAAGTGGTACTTTTTCTACTTTGAATTTTTCAAAAGCCTATAACTTGAGTACTATTTCAGATAGATAAATGAAGTTTCACATGTAAGTAAAAGATTAAATCCTCTACCTTCTACCAAATTTTGAGTAATTTCTGTTGAATAGAAGTAGTAATTTACGCTATTTCCGATTTCTAAAAGAAAATGCATGTAAATTTATAAAGTACTAATAATATTGCACACTATTATGAACATCTTTATTTGGCGTACGCTTGGTGCGCAATTCTTTTTTTCTATGCGATTTTATTCTATTTTCAAAAGTTTAAGTAATTAAAAATCATGTCTATATTCCGAGTTGCCATCCCACGTTGTGTTATATAAGAATATTCGAGAAAGTTTAGGGGAGATCAATCCCGGTTTATTTTATTGGGGATTGTCCAAAAATTAAGTGATGATCCTCAACATAGTTTACCACCATTAAAATAAAAATTACCACATGTATTTAACACAATTCAAGGACAGCCCTTTGATTTAATTTATTATGTACAACGGGGGGGGGGGGGGGAGTATCATTGTTATTGTGTCCTATACTTTATTTGCAAAATGTCGGTATTTTGAATGATTGGATGAATACAAATACATCAACGGCTTGTTAAAACTTTGCAACTTATTTTTCAGACAAATTTAATAAGCCATTTTATAGGGCATGGTAGGTGAAAAATATTTAATAACATATAGGCCCTGTAGGCATGACAAATTATTCTTTAAATTGGAAGTATCAATAAATCATTAGTTATGTGGGTATGAGGTGGAGTTAACTATTTGAACTAGATTCTAAGATTAGAATAAATGATGGGTGTGACCATGCCATAGACCCCGATTTTAAGAATTAAGTATTTTACATTTGACCACACAATTAGATCTAGTATCTGGACCTTAATAATATAGGCTAATCTTTGTAGGCCTAGGACCTCATAATAACTAATCATTGTATTATTTAATTATTAGGCCTAGCCTACTAGATCTATTATTTAAATATATAGGTCTAGGCCTAATTGAATTGGGTAGACGTAAATTGCCTAGCTATTTTAGATCTTGATTGAGGATTCTATATCAAGTAAGTAGGCCTATCTATTAGATGTAAGATGTGGTGTCAAAACTGTCAATCAAAAGATTCTCTTGAGTTGAAGCAAAGCAGAAATCTGTGAAGAGTGGAATGCAAAGCATTCGACTAGCTTAAATAATTATTTTTAATTATTAATTAATATTAATTATTATTCTCATTCATTCATAGAGTATCAATATTCCCCCTAGAACCCGTGTCGTTTAACAATTTAAAGATTAAAGATGTATTAAGATATCTATTTACTCAGGATATAAAAAATAGTTTCGTTCCTGATTTGTAACTTACACCGAATACACCGATCAGAACAAAATTGAAAAGATGGGTTGATCATGTTTTTTTAATACGCCTGGAATCTAGATCTAGTCTATCACATCATTAATTATTAATAAATAATATGATTTCAATTGGATGTAGACTAGTTGGGGGGTGTACTTGACATACCTGCCATTCTGTAAACGCGTAAATTCGCGTTTATCTCTTATGAAAACACTATTTCATCGCAAACATGATTACTCTTGTTGTGAATCTATTTGCCATTTCCCAAATTTATAAGCTACTATATTTTTTTATTATCTGGCCAGATTTCTAACTTTACTTAAAATAAAAATAAGATTTCTTTTAGCCAGCCTGATCTATCAATAATATCAATTAGTTTATTTTTAGGAAACCAAATTTGTACAAACTAATTTTAAATAGTTTTTATCTATTTGCAATAAGAATCTTTTAGTGTTATTTTGTATGTTGATTTGGAAAATGATTTTAATGATCATTTCCATAAACAAATGTTTCTGTGCTTAAATGGCACACAATAGATAGTTTTTTGGAATATCAAAATGTCTTCTCTGGGTAAACAAAAATCATCAAATCTAGAAAAGTCACTTGGAAAGGGGAAACCTGAGGTACTTAAGTCGGCAAATCACAAAGCCTTCATTTTGATAAAAGCATTAAAACTTTCGAACCATTTAGATCTATGTTGATAAAGTTTTCTTAACAAAAGATTTGAAATTTAAGAAAGCACAAGACAGGTTCTGGGAGGGTTGTGATTTTTCAATACGAATGGAATCTTCTTTAAAAAAGGGGTGTTCTGTCGTTAGGTTAGGCCTATTAATTAAAATAATTAAGTTAGTAAATACACACATGGCTGGCAAATGTCAATGCTAACCCTATCCCTAACCCCAACCCTGGTCCTACCACGTGATACGCCTAACCCTCTAATTGCCCTAATTTCTAACCATGAAATTAGTCGAGATTACAATGTGTAACAATACTACTAGATCTAACTAGTAACAACCCAACACCCATTTTTTTAAAGAAGATTCCATTATCGGACACAGGTATCTTTTATCATCCGAATCTAGATCTAATAATAATATTGTTGACATATTAATATTCGACAATATTCGTGTCTATTTTAAATTTTTAGATTAGCCTATAGATTATAGATCTAGGCCTACTATCAAACAGTCTGTAAAAAATACAAACGGAGGAAAAGAAACATCTCTTAACTTCTAAAGCCTGAAAATAATTAAGAAATTTTTAATTAAATATTTTAGGGCGGTAATCTATCATTTTAGGTACGTAAAATAGGCCCAGACTAGTAATGTTAAAAAAGGTGACTCATGAGGGCCTAAATTTTAGTAATTATTTTGCATTATCAAGAGGATTTATTTAGGTTTTGAAAGTTACAAAAATGTTTCAAGGTTTCGTTCATGTACCTGTACGATAGATAACCTTTAGGGCTAATATCTAGAAGTAGAAGAATCATCTGAAAATGTTTCTAAAAAAAGAGACTTTTAAGATCTATGAAACTTAAATAAACTTTTACTTTTAGATTTTATAGAAGGGGGGGGGGGGGGAATTAGGACATTTCATTAAATTATTAATAATTTCTATTTAATTTGCATGATAAGGTCTGTATTTTGGTACCTTTAACCCTTACCCTAGAGGTGGATAAGAAGTTTTTATGTTTGGTTGCAATTCAAGGTCTACGCTTTGTATCCCTAGCAAAGTGGAGTTTGTTGCATTGAGTTAATTATAAACTCAAAACAATAATATAAACAATCTCATTTTAATAGGTCAGGCCACATACCACACACGCACAAATAGTATTGTGTGTCATGCCGGCCTTAAAACAAAGTAATAAACAATTTATAAGCTAAACTATCTTTATTATTTTCATTAGCAATAATGAACTAAGTAGTTGATTTCTCGCTGTCAGTTTTTAACACTCAGTGAGGTCATTGGCTTTAGTTTTTAAATTATACATTCATTTTTTTTTACTAAATACAACTGTATAGTTATACACTTTTTGTTCAATGTTTTATTTTGACTTTTTCCATTTCAAAATAAATACAAAATCTTTCTTTTTTTGTAGGTAAATATAGCAACTTTTGCCTTGCTTTTCTCTGAAATTGTGCAATATTGTCAAAATCGAGTACACACAGTACCTGAATTGCAAAACAAGTAAGTGACAAGCTCTATCCTAATAAAATTTTGTTTTGTTGTAATTAGCAAGAATTCATTAGGTTAATTAGCGAAAATATGGTTTTCTTTATATTTATGTTACCTTATTTTACTATGAGTAGAATGTAAATTTCTACTCTGTTACCATTATGGAACATAAAACTAAATTTATCTTGCATTATGCATGTTTCTTTTTTCCCCACCATTTTGTAAAGTTAGTTTTTCCTCTGTTTCAGATTATCTGAACTTGGTCAACATGTTGGATCTCACATGCTGGATGTCTTGTTCCTCAGAGAGAAGGGATACAAAAGAGAGATTAAATTACTAAGCATGCTGATTTTCATAAAGTCTACTTTCTGGAAGGTACATTTATTATAAATATCAATGTATCATGTATTAGATGTGTTGGGTTGGGCGTGGTCGAGTCAATAAAATTAGTGGTTGCTGAGCCAAACAATCCAGAGTTCGAACCCTCGGGCTGATAAGGCTCAATAACTGGGGACGACTTGCAGTTTGTTTTTGGTTAGACAAAAGCTATGGAAGCAAATCCAGAGAGAAAAGCAGGCTGAAATTAGAGTCAGTTTACACAAAATACTTGTGTTGGAAGAAATCTCTTCCAACATTACAATTAAGAATGAAGAAGTAAATGGGTTTTTTAAATGTAAAATGTATGTTCTTATTTGCAGATTGTCTTTGGTAAAGAAGCAGATAAACTTGAGCAGGCAAATGATGATGATAGAACTTGTATCCTTTGTTTTGGTACCTCCATCTTGTGAGAGTTGTCTAATTCACCACTGCCCAGTTCAATATTTCCACCTTTCTGGGACTGTTTCAGCCAGTTTTTTTTTTTAGTTTCAGAACATTCATGCTAGTATTATCTGCTAATTAAATTAGTACTAACAACTTTTTCATTTCACCTTGCTATTCTCTCTGCAAGCTTGAAATGTTATGTGAAATATATCCAACCATATACACCTTTGATTTGAGTGGGCTTAAGATCTTTTTGTTATGCTGAATAAACCTGCAGGAAAAATTATAGGCGAGTGAGCAAGTGACAGAGTGCAGGTGTTGTCATTCAAGTTGCACTAAATGTTTTTAAATAAAAAATTCTTTGTTTGTGTGTGATTAAATCTCTTAACTAAACCCAAAGATTACATCATTGAAAAAGAGCCCCTTGTAAATAAATTTATCTCTGTTCCTAAAGACAAAGGTAGGTTTCTCATGTGACACATTCATACACATTCATAACTATTAGCATCAATAACATTGCTTTTAATATTAAGATGCAGCTTTAAAAGTACATCATTACATGTTACTTTTGATTTTTGAGTGCAGTGTTAAATTGTTCTTAAAAGTTGCACTTGAATTTGTTAAAATTTGGGTATATCATTTGTTGCAGGAAGCTTAAATTGTGCAGCATTCACAGCTGGTATCTTGGAATCTGTTCTTAATGGTTCTAACTTTGTAAGTAGCACATGTAAATTTATTAGTTTCACAGTTGTGTGTTTAATCAGTGCTGATGTTCATTTCATTACACAGTTTATGTAATAGTTCTCTCACAATCTTTATAGTAGTTCCTAAGTGCTGCAAATGTTATCACAAATAGGCAAAAGTATAAGGTCACCAGTGTAATTAATTTAAATCAAATTAAAATGCACTTAATTAAAATAAAAATGTGTTAGATAAGGGGTGAATGATTGTTTTATTGTTGAGCTCTTGTTTCAGCCTGCTAAAGTAACTGTCCACTGGCACAAGGGGACAACATTCATGATCAAGTTTGATGAGTCAGTCATCTCAAGGGATAAAACTGTTGACAGTCGATGAGTGCTTGGCATTTTTTCTTCACTTTATGAATGTTGTTTTGTTTACATTATCATTATGTATGTATGTGCAATGAATTACATTTTTTTGTTGAATCAACATGTGTTTAAAAAAAATTCAGTTATTGTGATGATAAAAGCATTCATCGATATGATTAAGTGACATGATTTGAAGGTCTCATTGTTTCCCTTGTTTGAAAAGACATTTTGTTAACTATCAAATTATTTGTTTAATATAAACTCATGTAGGTTGGTGTGTGAGTTTGAACAATATACATTTTATTGTATTATTTATTGTAAAATTATGTGTGAAATCACATTTCGTTTGTTATTAAATACTCACAAATTTCACAAACAGTTTATTTGGTTCTGATGATTTATTTTAATTATATAAATGAATTGATTTTCTGTGCATTTGTTTTTTATAAAATTATTGCACTATTCCTATTTTATTTTGTAACTTATTTGAAAAATTCCTTAATTTACTTAAAATTTAAGTTAAAAGATCATTCCAAATCCATCCTGAAACATACCAGCTAAATATTTTTTTTTTGTATCTAAACAAGATTCTGATTCATACATTTTTGTTCCTATAAAAGGACCATATTTCACACTGATGATCTTACTTAGTGACAATTCTAGGCTGATGTGTTGTGTTGTAGACTGAATTTATGCATACAAATATGTGGTAGCCACTCTTAGATTGACACATGATTTGCAATGTAGTTTATTTGCTACTGAGTAAAATTAAAGAACTCTGTGAAAAGTTCATAAAACATTATAAACGGGGGAGTGGGGGGCGGGGCACTGCACGCCTGGACAGAACTAGAGCAATACAGATACAATCTTTGATTTAGTCTTTTATAATATTTTTCGTGCCCAAGACACTGGCAGATCTAGAGTTTATCTATTTCAACGACCACCGCATACAGAAGGATAGTGGGGTCAGCACAATGCCCAGCCGCCATGGTTTCCGTATATATCAAGTGCCTATCTGATCTGGGTGAACTTGTAATACTAATTGATGCGTGTACCGAATACTGACTCGAACCCGCTAACATTCTCTGTATTAAATAGTGGTTATTAGCGGTGTCTTCAGTAAAAACAGCCTAACCAGAAAACCGCAACTGCTTGTTATTTCCCTTTGTTAGAGGGAAACAACCGAGCTATTTTTAAAATAAGCTGGAATATATAACAACAAACATTCGACACTTGTTCTTTTGAATGATATAGGTTCAAGGCTAACCAAAAAATGAGCTGCCTCGGAAAATGCAGTGGCGGATTAGCCTAGTGTCTCCGATGTTCAGGAATAATACAAAGTGTTGGTGCACTCACATACGTTGATTTCAAATCACATAACCCAAAAAGAGAGAAAACAAAAACATTCTCTTCAATCCTATCCCAACACATGTTCATTGATAGGTTTACGATGAGTAACATAACATAAGACCAAGTTTCATCATTACTGAGCGCCTCGACTTTTATCTTTAGTCGTACCAGCATGTAGCTTTAGTAAGACTGCACCAAAACCTAATTTATTTTTTACTTAAAAAAAAAATTCTAGTCAATGATGATAAATAATAAAGAGGGAAAACAATTGATCTGTCCATGATCTAATTTGTATAATAATATAAAAATGCTAAAAATAATAAGCTGTTACACGTTTAACCTATTTATAGCCCGTCACCTTGTTATCATGTAGAACATGCATTCCAAAAAGCAAAACAAAGCACGCATTTTTAAGATGTCTACAGTACAGCTGATAGTATTTAATGGACGTTCTTGCTAGTCGTCGACTCAAATAGAAGGTAAACGTTTTGAAGTGCAAGCGAAAGATCAGATAATCTGGTGAGTTTTTTTTTTTTAAATTGTAACAACTCACACCAAAAAACAAAAGTTTAATAGAACAATTAATGTTTTAATTAGTATTAACACATTAATTATATTTGTGTTATAAACTCTTGTGTTTATTTTTACATCGTTTTCTCTCCAAGCTCGGTCTTCGTGGTTATCGTATGAATTAGTCTAAAGGCCGTAAAGACCATAAATAATTTTGCTCGCTATTTTAGTAGGACCCCCCCCCCCCCCTACACACTAAACAAGGATATTGTTTCATATGACTAAAAATCCCCCGTTGACTTTTCTTCTCAAAGTTTCATCAACCCCAAATGTCTTACATTATTTACATATTTTAACTCTTCGTTTTTAACAAGTTTTTCATTTTTTACTTTCTCGTATATACGAAGAATAGAGAAAGTATTGTAATCGTGCACAAAAATCACTTGAAATTTTAACAATTTTCACCGTATTACACCTCAGTCCTTCATCACATCCGATGTATAAAGGACTTATTTTAATCGGGCAAAAATTATCAATCCAGATTTATCAAAGTTAAGAGGTTTTATGCGTAATCCAGTCTGAAAAACTGGACTTTGCAATTCTGTCCGTATGTCCGTATGTCTGTGTGTGTGTGTGTGTGTGTGTAAACACGATAACTTGAGTACCGTTACAGCTAGGTTGATGAAATTTCATATATAAGTATTTTATCAAAATCGTAGATCCGTATCAACTTTTGAGCGATTTCCGATAACCGGAAGTGGTACTTTTCCTACTTTGAAATTTTCAAAAGCCTATAACTTGAGTACTATTTCAGATAGATAAACGAAATTTCACATGTAAGTAAAAGATCTAATTCTCTACCTTTTGTTAAATTTTGAGTCATTTCCGTTGACCGGAAGTAGTAATTTACGCTACTTCCGATTTCTCAAAAAAGTAATGTAAATTTTTAAAGTACTAATAATATTGCGCACTATTATGCACTTTTTTATTTAGCGTTCACTTGGTGTGCAATTCTTTTGTCTACGAGATTTTATTCTATTTTTAAAACTTTATTTAAAATGGATTAAAAATCATGTCTATAGCCCGAATTCCCATCCCCTGTTGTGTTATTTTATATAAAAATATTCGAGAAAGTTTAGGGGAGATCACTCCCGGTTTATTGTTCTTTAAAAAAACACACACACACACACAATCAAAACAAACAATTATTCTCTTTTCATTAGTCACCCACCCCCTACTCGCTTTTAGTCTAAACTTCCTCATACCATAGATGTGCAACAAATATTTATGGACCCTTAATGAGCCCTAATGTATTAATTGTGAAGCTGAATATTTTTGTTAATTAAATCACGCGTTTCAAAATAGTTTAACACGATGGGGGAGGGGGTGGGGGGGGGGGAGAAATTGTGTGTGTGTGGAGGGGGGGGGGAGCTTAGACAGTCCTTGGCACATTGGAATGTGGGTGATAGCGGGAGGACGGGGGTATATATTAACTAGGGATATAATTGGGGGGGGGGGGGGCACTTGAAACTTTCGATAGGGGGGGTAATTTTCCGGAGGGGGGGGGGACGACGGACACCAATAAAGGTATTTATTTTCTATATACATTCTATTTCAATCGGGGGGGGGGGGGGGGGGGCGGCAGAAGAGATAGATGCCTAAAAGAAACTCTAGTGTCGCGCCAATGTGTGACTCCACCTCCTGTACTAACGCCGTGAAACGATGTCAGGACACGGAGACAGGCCCGTTTATCTCCGGTCAGGTCAACGGCTGATAAACAACAATGGCCGCCGTCACTGGTGTCAGCTGACCGTGTTGACAAGCCATCCGGTGACGTCCTGGCCTGACCTCCAGTCAGCTGATTGTAAGCGGACCGTTGTAGTCAGTCGGTTATCGGTGGATGTCGTCCTAGGCATCTGAGTGGACCGTCTGGATGCGTACCACACAAGGGCATCGAGGTCTGCCACAGGGCATTTGGAAGTTATGCGGGGGAAAACAATCCAAACTATCAAATTATGAATGTAATGTGAATATATATATATATATATATATATATATATATATATATATATATATATATATATATATGTGTGTGTGTGTGTGTGTGTGGTGTAGTTTGTACATTACTAATCGACCCTTTATATAGAGTTTCTTCTAGGCATCTCTTCGGGGGGGGGGGGGGGGGGGGGGCACAGCCCCCCCCCCTCCGTAGAAAGTCTACCGCCACCCCCCCCCCCCCACCCCCCCCCCCCCTCCGAAAGTTTCAAGTGCCCCCCCCCCCCCCCCCCCCCCCGGAGAAAAAAGTCTGGAAGAAACACTGCCTTTATATAATATAGATAACTGTTATGATGGATAAGTTTACGATTTGGTTAAGGGTTACGTTAAGAATGGTTAAGGATAGGTTAAGGATACGTTAGGGATAGGGCTAAGAATCTGGTTAGGGGGAATAGATACGTATAGGGTTAGGAATAGCGGGACTGAACTGAATATTACATTAACGATTGTCAAGGGTATAGTATGCATTCTCAAGGGAGAATGACAGGGTGTAATGTCCGGGGATTATGTCTTAGCCCAAGATGTAAAGACAACTGCCTTTTCTTCCTTTCAGATCTCGTTTAACAACCAAATTTGAAGATGGCGGCTGGCCTCTTGGCTTGGCTTTGCCTGGGGTTGACGCTCCTGGCACCGGTAGCCTGGTCCCAAAGATGTAGCCCTCCAACCTGGCAGGGCGAGGGGCTGGGGGAGAACCCCGTGGCTGCCAACAGGGGCAAGGTTGTGCTGGTAGCCCTGATGAAAGGCTACTGTAGCTACTGCGTCAGCCAGGCCAGAAAGTAAGTGGATGTGTTAGTAGCCATAATAAAAGACGACTACAAGATCGTCTAATGATGAAAGCGTGTAACTCTAATGATGAAAGCGTGTCACTCTAATGATGAAAGCGTGTAACCTCCCCTAAGTCGAAGAGATGGTTCAAACCAAATTTTTAGTGTCTATTTTTGCTCAAATTTCAATGAACACTTAGCGTTTTAATGTACTAAAAAAACTAATGATGAAAGCGTGTAACCTCCCCTAGGTCGAAGATATGGTTCAAACCAAATTTTTAGTGTCTATTTTTGCTCAAATTTTAATGAACACTTAGCGTTTTAATGTACTAAAAAAACTTTTCTTTGTTGGATCCTTTAAAATCTCAACTCTATTGAGAACAGGACAGTAACTACATTTTCATATACACTCTACATCACAGGTCATGATATTGTTTTTATCCTTTAACTTCCATGTCATGTTTTGGTATCCCTGATTAAAAAAAAAACTTTTGGCTCGATCGTAATTTTTTGTTTAGTGATGTTGTATAGTTATGTGAGGGTGGAAATTTGTAGTTTTTTTTCATATATTTTTCTCCGAAAAAGGCGGAAGGAGGGGGGGGGGAGGACTTGAAACTTTCAGTGTGTGTGTGGGGGGGGGGGGGGACGACGACGACGAAACCGGTTAAAGTAAATATTTTCTAAATACATTTCTTTCGGGGGAGGGGTGTGGTAAAGTGCTTTGGGATGGAGGGGGGGGGGGGTTGGCAATTTAGCTGTAGCCCTTTGAAAAGATACCTGAAAGAAACACTGGTTGTATACAAACGTTTCGTGTTTTTTTCCCCTAGACTGGAGGCTCTAAAAACCCGTCTGGCCAGCATCAACATGCCGGACATTGCCATGTACATCGTGAACGGGGGGGAGGAGATCTCCCGCAGCCAGATCTCCAACCTGGTGGTGGCCAGCAGCATCCCCGTCCTGCAGGACACGGCAGAGCACGTTATGTTCCGGTCAATCTTCAGGGGGAATAAGGATGATTTCATCGTGTATGACAGGTAAGGAAGGTCATCCGTAAATGACGTCACGCTTTTAAAAACAAATTATTTTTACCTTTCCTCCGTCACGCATGGTTACAAAAAGCCAGACCCACCTTAAAATGACGTCACACCTCAGCCTAAACACCCCCACCCCCCGTCCGAATCGCTGTTGAATATTTTTAAAATATCGAATTTTTTTCTAAGTATATGACAGAGCTCGATAAACAGAGTATTTTAATCAATTTCTGTTATGATTTTTCATTTAATAAAACAGTTTTCTAAAACACGAAATAACGGCTAAAATTCAGTTTCTGACATTACATTTTAAAAATGCAAAAGTGTGACGTCATACTATCTGAAACCTCCCCCTATCACAAAATCACAAGCCCCTTCTATCCACCCCCCCCCCCCGACGAGTGTGACGTCATTTAAGGACGCCCCCCCCCCCTCCAAGACACAGGTAATGAGGGTTTGCTGGTTGCGGTAATGGGGAGGGAGGTGATGCATTCATTTCTATGGATAACTTTAATTTATGGATGCCATTGTAATTTATGGATGCCATTGAAATGCTGGATGACCAAACGAATTAACTCAAGACAAAATACTTCACTATAATATTTCACAGACAAAATAAAAAGTTTTTTTTTAAAAGCGAGAAACGGGAAAAATGTTATACATATGAAATTGTGTAGGTTGAAAATTAGATTTGAATTTTCACTACATTAAAAAACACTAAAATGTTTTTTTACTTTCTCGATTATACGAAATATAGAGAAAGTCTTGTAATCGTGCAAAAAAAAAAAAAAATCGAGATTTTTACAATTCTCGCGTTTTACACCTCACTGATACGGAAAAACATAATTTTGCAATCTTGTCCGTATGTCTGTGTGTCTGTGTGTGTGTGTGTGTCTGTCTGTCTGTGTGTAAACACGATTACTTGAGTACCGTTACAGCTAGGTGGATGAAATTTCATATATAAGTATTTTATCAAAATCGTAGATCCGTATCAACTTTTGAGCGATTTCCGATAACCGGAAGTGTTACTTTTTCTACTTTGAATTTTTCAAAAGCCTATAACTTGAGTACTTTTTCAGATAGATAAATGTCAAATTTTGAGTAATTTCCGTTGACCGGAAGTACTAATTTACGCTATTTCCGATTTCTCAAAAACCGCATGTAAGTTTATTAAGTACTAATAATATTGCGCACTATTATGTACATTTTTTTTTGTTCGCTTGGTGCGCAATTATTTGTTCTATGAGATTCTATTCTATTTTTAAAAGTTTAAGTAATTAAAAAATCATGTCTATATTCCAAGTTATATAAGAATATTCGAGAAAGTTTAGGGGAGATCACTCCCGGTTTTTTTAAAAATGTATTTTGGTCTGGTGTATACGGTAGTCAAATAATCATCTATAATTAATGATAACAGTTTCACTGTTTATGTCTGTCTGTTATGTTGCCCTACTAGGAATCTTTACATAGATGCTTTTGGATTGTTTCAGTATGTTAAGCCCGATTTTGAATAAAATTATAGATGTTCTTGGATTTGTCGCATTATTTTGCCCTACTTAGAATTATACCATAGATGTTCTTGGATTTGTCGCATTACGTTTTGTTATTGGATTTGTTCCAGGTGCGGACAGATGGCTGTCGCCATCCGCCACCCCTACAGTCACGTGGACAATGGCGTCACGGAGCGCGTGCTGAAGGCCGTGTATCGAGGGCCGACACACCTGTTATTGTTCCCTGGACACCAACAGACGGACACCACGTGACCTCTCGTCCAATCGGCGACAAGCACGCCGGAGGCTCTGAGACTGCTCCGGCATCAGGCCTGACCCCTGTGGTGCAAGAAACCGACCCACAGGTGCCGGTGCCCGCGACAGAACTTCAGCCCCCAGTGCGTCTGCACCCGCCCCGTCCACGGGATCGGCAACGACGTCCTGGCCTGGCACTGCGGTTGCCGGGACCCGACCTTTGAGACCCGGGCCTTCTGCGATCACTGTCACCGCTGTGACAACAGCCGCGCGTGCCGTGACGTGGCGAGCTGGCCAGGTGACAACAGCGCTGCCGCTGCCTGAGCGAGGGGGACGACCGGGGACAGGCGGACCCGACCACCTGACAGTGACAGGATGCGTCTGGCGTCGTCGTAGACTGACAGGATCAGCCCGTGGGGGCCCACGGCTGTCAGGGTTTGACAAGACGGCACCACGGTCACGTGGACAGTGATCCAACGGGTACGCTCAGTGACCTTGACCCAACGACGAGACAACCTGACCCTGACCTAACGGTGAAAACAGTCCTGACCTTGATCGAATGGACGAACAGCCTGACAGTAAAGCAATGAGCCAATCCCCTGACCTAATCAGTAAATAACTTAGCCATGATATATCATAAATCCTGAACATAGAGGTGTTGGCATTGCTCAATCCTAAACACAACAGATAACATTATGCATAGCTAAGCGAAAAACGTCTTGGCCAATACCTTATATAGATAAACTTTAATCTAAAACAAGAAACAACATGTATCAAAACTGCTTAATCTTAATTTACATATACTATATTTAAATGATGAAATTTTAAGATGACGTTGATAGGTCGAGTTAGTTAATGAAGACGTCGTTGTTAAAATAAAATGACTTGAAGAAATAAACCTCATGACTGTTGACTATTGACTGGAATTCCCCACTTGACTTTGGCCACTTTTCTGGCCTCTCGGTAAACCGGAACTAATGAAAATATCTGGCTAAACCTAACGGAGTAGGATGTGTTGAACATTTTCCGGAAAATTTTCCGAGCGCCAGATCGGTGGCAGTAGATTTTCTGTATGCAAAAACCGGGAAATCTAAAGTGCTTTGTCATGCCGCCTTTTGTTCACAAACATAACAAACAAGTTTTGATGCTTGTATCGAACCTCTCAAAACCTTTTTAGACAGAACACCTAAATTTTTTTTTGAAAGCTACAATTGGCATGTGACATTTGAAACGGAACAAAAGTTGTCATGACTTTGACACTATGTACAGTGAAACTAAGTGTATATGACTTTTGATAAAGGAATTTAAAATATTAAACGAATAGTTTCTCAACTTCCAACCTGCGTTCTTGTGTACGTGTCTCTTTTTTCACGGTCTGTGGTAGGTGTATAGGGGAGAATGGGTAGAAAGGTGTGGGGGGGGGGGGGGGGGGCGACGACACACATCTTAGTTAAAACTTAACCCTGACACAAAAATACCACATTGCGTGTTTTACGGTGTATTTTTTCTTTTTAATTTTTATAACCGTCGCCAAACAAAATAATCCTTAACTGCGTGTCAGAACTCATTTGAAACAGATTTGAATAATAAAAACAATACAATAAAAAACCCTCTAATGATAGATTCACCATTAGACTAGTGTTTGAAAAACTCAAAACGGCTAAAATATTCTCTTGTTATCTAACGTTTTTTGTTTAATTCAAGGTAGGTAAAGCTTATGGTTGCTAAACTGAAGAGATTTTTGATAGCTGGGGACAGCAACTCTTCTAGGAGAGACAACTCCAAAATCAAACAATTGCTGACACTAGTTTTTTCTTGGTTGGACAAAGGCTATGGAAGCAAATCCAAAAAAAAAAAAAGCAGGCTGAAATTGGAGTCATCGGTCTACAAGGCACAAAACGTTATACTTGATTGTGTTGGAAGAAATTTAGGTTGCCAGATACCTTTTCCGAAAATACTGGACACCTTTCCATCCTTCCCTTCTCATGTATGCCGCAAAGCAGAAGAAGGGGGGGTAACATAGTATTATTCATATACTTGTCCAGTATTTATATTTATTTTATCCTGGACAGTCTGCTCAAATACTGGACTGTTCAGTTCAAAACTGGACACCTGGCAACCCTAGAAGAAATTCCGTCCAGCATTACAGTAATAAAAAATTTGCGTTATTTTATGAAATGTTTCGTTATTTAAGAATTGCTAAATGATTCAGATCCACTATCAACGTTTAAACCTATACTATTACTATTTATAAAATATGTAAAAACTAACAATATTCACTAATGACCATAGAAGTCTATATTACTTTGAGTTGATATTATCTAAAACCTAATCAAATCTACAAAACAAAACATAAAATACGCATTTTTAAGCCAACTTTACATTTAGAGTTAACCTACTTGACGGAAGTCAACGAAAAACGTCCTGAGATGATCGATGCTCTATCTACTCCTATACACGATCAAAGCATTTCCTTGGGAGACAGAACGGTTTGACAGACGGAAGGATGAACGCCGTATGACACGTGACCTACAGTGATGCCGTTTCTGCACCCTAAGAAGACCCACGAGCCCTTGTGGAAGGAGTGGAACAGCAAGGCGGACAAGAAGGGCATCTTGAACCCCGTGTACTGTGTCAATGGGAACCAGTACATTGGGTCGTGGTTGGACAACAAACGACACGGTGAGTTGATGCTGGTTTAATCAAGTCTAATGGTAGTGTGTGCATGTGGTAAGTGTGGTGATGCCCTAATGGTTGTGTCCACATGTGGTTAGTGTGGGTGTTGTTGTTATTACTGTTATAGTGGTGTATATATGTGGTTAGTGTGGTGTTGCCGTGACTCCTATTAAGTTATTAACTATTACATTAGTATTTATGTGGTTAGTGTGGTGTTACTCTAACGGTTGTGCCCACATGTGGTTAGTGTGGTGTTGATGTGACTCTATGTGGTTAGTGTGGTATTACTCTAAGGGT